GCCTCCCCTGTTTTGATTTGGTGACGGTAATCTCTATTCACTGCTGTGCTGATACTCTTTGAGTCAAGGCCCCTTCTCTACTTCTGCTGTTTCTGGAAAAAAAAATTAACAAGTGCAGCTTTGGCATGTTATGAACAGTTAGAAAATTTCCACACCTAAGAGGGTATGTAGGCTCAGATATCTAATTTTCTTTGCAACCAGATGGAGAGGTGAAAAGCCTTTTGTGGGCTTATCCTATCCTTATCTTGAACCCTCCAGAGAAGTAGCGAAATGGAGGCGAGAAGGTAGTGATCCAGACATCAAATAACTTAGCTCTTCTCACAGGCGGTGAAATTTGCTTAGCAAACCCAGGAGAGAGGAAAAACCCAGATGGATGTGGAGTACGGCAGTATCAGCAAATGAGCTATATGAGGATTGTTAGGGGAGAGCACGGGGTTAGGGCAGAACCATCCTAAGTGTTCTAGGAGTAAACACAGGAGAGGCCCTAATGATCACATCTGCACCACTCTCTGGGGCAGAGGTCTTTGGGGAATGCATCTCGTGACCTCCCACCTCTTGCATTTATTAACCCTCCTAATTTTTCCCTTTCTGTCATGCAATCCTCTCCTCTTCCTCTGCTTCCACTCTATTTACCATTTAACAACATCTCTCGGACTAATTTTGCAATTGTTTACATGGCATAGGACCATTAGGAAAGCATTTAACACGTTCTGATGAGATATAGGCGGTGGAAAGAGCCATGTGAACAGCAGATCCATGAGTAGCTTTTGAGTCACACCTTGAAAACCATTTGGTGCAAGCACAGTCCAGCCCATTTAGCGACAAGAGCTCCCAGCAAGTCTCTTTATTCAAGTGATTAAGGCTTTTCCAAGGAACAGGAGAACACGGGTTATCTTTCTGCTGTTTTTTGGCAGTTGTAGGGAGGCGTGACTGGAAGATGAAAGATATTTTCCATATTGCTTATCTTTTCTTTCCTTTGGGTGCCACATAGTCTATCATTCCCTCAGCTCAGACACAGGCCCCAAGGGGACTTAGTCCAAAAGTAAAACACAGAACTAAGCAACAGAGATTAAAACCCAAAATGTTTTAGGCGTACTGCTGTTGGTGGTGACACTGGTTTCAAATGCTTTCCCTCTTCTCTGTCTCCTCTCTTAGCAGCTTGTTCAGAGCTCCGTGATGCCACTTGTCATCCAGCTGAGCTATGCCAACACAAGATGAATGGAGAGGTCCCACTACTAAAAAACACAACTAAAAAATGTTTTGTAAAGCTTACCCGAGCTACAGTAAAAAAATTCTTTTTCCTGTGTTGCTATCAACACTTTAAATTCTTCCTTCCATATGTTTCCAAGTGCTGTCAGTGGATGGATAATCCACTTGCATAATTTTCTGTTTTCATTTTTCATGTCTCAGGTGTCAGCACAACTTCAAAAATTTCAATAATTTTTAATTTCACCCCACACACACATTGTAGTCAACTTTTGAGCTTTTCAGCCTGTTTTTTCACATCAGTATCACCTATGAGGCCATGCTGCTTTTTAGTGTGGCTACAAGTCTCCCTCTCCAAAATCTTTTGAAACTTTTTGACAAATTTCACTCAAATTTGGTGGAAAGGCAGAAAGGCAAAAGTCTCATACTCCTACAAGATCTGTTAATAAAGACAATTCAACAGAGGAGCAAAAACTAAATTCATGCCCCAACTGAACAAACATTATTGTTTCTCTTGGCAGCTGGTACTGCCCTGCCAACCTGCACCTCTTGCTTGTTGCTTTGTGGAGATGTCTGTGGTGTGGGAAGGAGACAAAATTAATGCAGCAGAGATGGAGGTGGGCTGACGGACACAGGGAGCAAGTCTGCTGGGAATCAGGCCTTTCTGCTTCCAGCTCTCCCCACAGGAATTGTTTTGTGGCTAAATTAAATCTATATTGTTTTATTTCAAACACGTTGAAAGCTTGACTTCAGTGTCAAATGGCATTATTTTTGTGGAGGTAAAGCCAGTACCTTAATATTATTTTAACAAAGCCTTCTAAAATGCACATACATTTCCAGTCAGCCGGATTCTTCCTTTTTGCTGAATACTGAACATTCTTTTCTTCCCCTCACTGTTGTCTTTGGCTGTAGAAATTGTACTTTCCACTTTCACAAAAACTGTAGGGGCATTATGAATGCCTGTATTTTTCTGGAGCAGACTTTTTGCTTTCTAACAAAATGGTTACACTAACTCACCTCACACAAGTTCAGCGTTAAGTGTGCGAGTGTAAAGCACAAGGTGCTTATCTACTTTTCCTGCGTTGTTGCAACTGAAAATTAAATTTGCCTTTGTACTTTCTAATAGAGTGCTATGGGGAATGCCTGAAAAGATGTCATGTTCTTCTTCAGCTGGCTGCATGCCGATGTGATAGGCAAAATGATTTATCTACAAACAGTTCTAAATTGCTTTGGGGTGCTTAAGGAAAACAGAAACACACTTGTTACAGTCTGTCTTACTAAATTGTTTTCTCCACAGCTGTAAGTAAAATATCTTAACTAGAAGTTTGCATAGCCAGGTGTTGGCATTGTAAGAAGGAGAGCTATATAATGTTTCACACTTTCTAATAAAATTGCAGACTTTGATTACTGTCTCCTGAGAGCACTCTCCACAAGAGGAAAGTATTGTTATTCCTACTATACTGACAGGAGAGTGATCTGTCCAGGGTCACCCTGGAAGCATTAGAGAGAGGTGTGCAGTAAGATTCTGGACTGTGTTCTGGTGTACAGAGTGCCAAAGCTCCTTACTTAGCTCTTTACTAACAAAATCTTCTTCAAGATTTCATTAACCCATTTTAGCACGTATTTCTATCATACAGAGAGCTTCAGACAATTAGCCCTATGCACTTTTGCCTATTATCAATTTATCAAATAATGAAAAGGGTTGTCACTGCCCTACTTTACAAACACCAAATCCACTCACAGATATGACTGCAGTTTCACCCACTCACCTTCCTAGACACCAGCAGTAATAATTTGGGGACAGCTTTCCATTTAGCATTGTAGGGTTGTGCCTAAATCAGATGTCATCACTGCAGATGCCCTGTTTCTATTCAAATTTTTGAGACTGCCCAGGAGCTTGGCCACAAGTCTATAGCTGACAGCCCACAACTCATGTTACCCTTGGAGACATTCTTCCAGTGTTATGTCTTTCATCATAAGTCCTTATGCTTAGCTATTTAAAATTCAGTAGTTTGCCTTCCTCTTGTCCTTATTTTCATGAGGCACCAGTGAGGATTCATTTCACCAAGCTTTAGCTATGCCACCAGCAAGACTGATCCCAAGGTGAGCCATTTCTGCTCACCATGTGCTGAGCTGTTCTAGACATACAGTTTGGAATGGAATAAATCACTTTTTGGAGCTGCCTAGGGGAGGGAATCTTGGTGACTAAGTCTGACTAAATGCCTGTTTCCTAGTTAGCACAAGTCAGCTGAGGTGAATCACCCAACAAATAGCCTCCTGGCACAAGAGGCAGTGTGATTGAACAGGGTCTTGTCTTTGTCTCTTCAGCTAAGTCATTTTGAAGGATTTGGGATGCTATTGGTACTTTCACTTTTTTGAGGATTTGAGATTGCACAAGGTCTTTGGGAAGCCTGTTCCAGTGCTTGGCCACTCTTCTTTTGAAGAATTCCTACTAACTAATTGGGATTTCTCTTGCTGAAACGTGGGACCAATGCCTGTCCCCTGTTTGCTGTGCACCTCTGAGAAGAGCCTGGCTCCACTTTCTCAACAGCCTTCCACCAGCGGAAGGCAACAGCCAAGTTCCCCTCTTAGTCCCTACTCGTCCAGGCTGAAGGAACAAACAAGATCCCTTGAAAAGGGATGAGAGTGGAATGGAATTTCCAACATTTTTATGGATGACTTTCAGGATTAATTTCCCCAAAGGTTCATTCTCCCCCCCCCCCTTTTTTTTTTTTTTTTTTTTTTTTTTTTTTTTTTTTTTTTTTTTTTTTTTTTTTTTTTTTTTTTTTTTTTTTTTTTTTTTTTTTTTTTTTTTTTTTTTTTTTTTTTTTTTTTTTTTTTTTTTGTGGTTTCATTTTGTTTGTATTTCAGGTGTTGATCACATTGATGACTGGTTCTCAGCTCTGCAAAGGTAGTCTCTGAGGCAATAGATTCTCACTGGATGATGGTAGGCACATCAGAAGAGACAATATTGTTCTCAAAACTTAGTGCGTTGGAAAAGAGGGATCCCACCAGGGGAGTGACTGCGGGGCAATATATCCCTAAATGGGTATGGAATCAGGTTCTGCCTTGGTATTTGCACTTTACAGTAGTTTTGCAGAGGGGCATGTTTGTCTGTGCGTGTTAAACTGTTGTAGGGTCAGAGAGGTCTGGTTGCTTTGGTCCTATTCCAACAGCTCTTGTCAGCCAGGCATGGACTCACTTTGGCTTTCCACAAACATAAAACTTTACTTAAAGCCTCCTGGAGTTTCCTCGCTTGGATTGAGGGTTTCACCACGTTTGTTTACTCATAAAAACACACAAGTGGAAAGAGTATAAAGGGGTTAATTGCATCAACAGAGAGCAGCGGTAAAGGCGGTGCAATAAAAGCTGAAAATACACCCCGTTTCAGGGGAAAGTTAAGAGAAATCATCTCCTCACGGCAGTGGAAATCATGCCACGGTCGTTTTCCACTGCTCTCAGACCCGACACGCTATTTTATGACAAATTCCACAGCTAAACAGTAGTAGGGTTTTCCCCTTCAAGCAGCGCCGCGGGGCTGATGAATCACTATCCCTTTTCAGGCCATAGCTAGATTGAGACGAGTGCTTTGCCTTCGCGAGCGCCAAACCCCCGGGAGCGGCACCGCGGCTCCGTGTACCCCAAAAAACCCTTCTGAGCCCCCCTCTGCAGGCGGGCCGGGCCCACAGCCCCCGGGACAGCCCCGCGGGGTCCCTTTAAGGGAGGCCGGTCCAGAGTTGTTCCCATGGCAACGGCGTGACAGCCATGACCGGAAGTGGTGCGGGTCAGAGGCCGCACGAACATGGCGGCGGCCCTGGCGCCGATGGGCGATGGCGGCGGCGCGGCGGCCCCTTGAGCTCCCCCCGCCGCGGCGCTGCCCCATCCCAGGTGAGGAAGGACAGGAGCGGGGGGACGGGCCGCGGTGCTGGCGGTGGCAGCGGCAGCGGCTCCAGGGCTCCGCCGCTGCCCTGGGCTCTCCGGTTCGTTCTCACCCGCCTCCCGTCTCTCCTCAGGCATGGTGGCCGCGGTGTAGGAGGGCGGGAGCCGCGGCGATGGAGGAGAGCCCCTGAGCCTGTCTGCGGAGGCGTTGCGTGTGTGTGAGACGTGTACGGTACCCAAAACCTCGGTTTCGGTGCTGCTGTTTCTGTTGCATCCGAAGGAATAAACGGAGGCCTGTTGCTAAAGTCTCATCCTTAGCATCTTTTCTGTTGGGAAAAGTGGAGTCTCTTGTTTAGAACTGCACGTACACAGAAGTCAGGTTCTTTCCAGCTGTAGCTGCGTGGTTTTCCCTGGTTACTGTGTCAGTTTTCCCGTTAGTGTTGGCGTGTGCCACTGTCTGGGCTCGCTGTGCCCTCTGGCAAAGCTAAACTCTGACCTGAATGGTCTCTTGTGTAAGAAGTGCAGGGCAAGTGTCAGAACAAGGCTTGTAGCTTTGCACAACTGGGCTGTTCAAGACATAACTGCGTCTGCAAAGGAGGTGCATATTAAAAATAAATAGTGGAGTTAAACTGTGTGTGCAGCTTCACGCTGGTGCATAAATGTATTCACTGTTCTTGGTGGTCACTGGACTTTTTTAATCTCTGCTTATGCCAGTGCACAGAGTGGACTACACTGATGGGGAGTGTATTTAGCTTATTGATTGAAAGTATCACCATATCTCACTTACTTCATAGCACCTGGCTGTTCTGTTCAAGACACCACCCAGGCTCTGCTTTTGCACCATTGGACTTTTCAGCAGGAGATACCACAGCAATATTTTAATGTTTCACAAGCATAAACTTATGCTAACAGATGGGTGTCCCCCCCACCCCCCATCCTTCTTCTTACTTTACAAATTGGACTTTTCAATAATAGATACAGCAATATTTTAACATTTCTCAAGCATAAACTTACTCCACTGTAACACAAAGATTACCAGATGGGTTCCCCACCCGCCTTCCTGCTTTACAAAATGAGGGAACGAGGGTAGGAAACAGAAAGCCAGAGTATGTCTTAAATTGAATACGGAAATCTAAAATGAGTCGATTGAATTTGTAATAATGTTTTACAGTATTATCTAATGCTCTGAATGCAAAACTTCAGTGGGAGCTGTACTGTCTGACTGCTCAGCAAATCAAGGTGCACTTTAACACATGAAGACATAGTTTGGTCAGTGTGTGGGCTACAGCTGAGGAGTGTGGTCTCACTCCTTTGCCATCGCTGGCCACGAGTTATTGCTGTTCTCTTTGTAGTGTATTTAGTGGTTGGATGATTTCGGGGACAGTTGATCTAACAGTTTTATTGGGATGGCTTTCTGTCAGATGGAAGCTATTCTGGGGAGTGTTTGCTCTGATATGAATGAAAGCTGCTTCTCCTTCTGCACTAATGTAAACCAGCTGTGGGTCAAGTACAATGTGAAACTGTACCTTGAGAAACCAAATCTCAAGTTGGTCATTCAGAAAATCAGAACTGTACTTAAAACTTCTGAAAAGCTTCAATTAAAAAAAAAAATCAGCTGTGTGTAGGGAATGTGAGGGAAGAGTGAAGGGAGTATAAACCTGTGAAGGACTCTTTCCAGAGTCTTTATGTCTGCTCCCTGTTTGCCAAAGTGTTTCTGTGCTGAAAGAGGCAAATCACCTACAAAGCCGCCTTTCAGTCTCAGGAGCTGGCCCACCATGTGCAGTCAGTGGGGCAGAATCTTGAAGGAAAGATAATATTGTACCCTGCTGTAAAAGCGACACTGAAGTTGTGCAGGGAAACCTTGATTCTGATATGGTCCAGCTCCTCAGCCTTGATGAGTTCTGCTTTCATGGAGTTGCCTGCCCTCTTCACAAAAGCAATCTGAAAAGAAAATTGGAAACGTAATGAGGTGTCTTCTTCACACCCACCTGGAAATAGGATTTGCAGGATTTAGGATTTTGCTGGATTTAGGATTTTAGTGGTGTTAGGATTTGCTGTATCAGGTAACCCTTTCTGAGTGGCTCAGGTGGCATATGTTTCATTTGTTCCTACAGCGTCTCTACTTCTTCAGCAGCTATTTTTAGTAAAGCCAGATTCTTAATCATATGAACTGCCTCAGGTGTAAATCTTCTTGTCCTTCTGCTGACTTCCTATCTGATTCTGTCCAAGACTTTCCCCTATAGTTTCCTTCCCTTAATTTTTGTCTAGGCAGTCTCATATGCCTCTTTTCTTTCCTGCTTCTTGTCCTGTCCTTCAGTGTGCTGCTACCCCTTACTCTGCTTTGCCAAAACACGCTTTTTACTTTTGTTGGCTGCTTCTTCCAGCTTCTTGGGACATGCAGAGTTTTTGTGTCAATTTATGCTTTCCTCCCATCTAGTCATCATTTACAAATGATTTGTCCTCCTTTCCTTATTTCATTCTCCTGTTCTCCACTTAGTCTTGTTCAGGGCTGCCCCTTTCTTTTTCCCTTGTTTCTTAAGGTTGTGGTGCTGAGAACACACAAACAAGATTCTTCATGTTCTGTGTGAGGTATTGAGTTCCATAGTCTGGTTTAATGTTTTATGAGAAATGGCCTGAGGAGAGCTGGCTTCTTTGTGTTGTGTGCGTGGTGTTTGGTCAGCACTCAGAGCTAAGAGGGAGGGAGATGGAACCTTTAGACAGTTGCCTTTTTGAAACAGGTCCCAGCTGAGTTTGGGCAAAGGCTTGCAGTTTGAATTTACTATTTGTTGACTTGGCAAAAAAAATAAATTGCTCCAGAAAGGCAGTTCTGCACTGTGAAGTCCATTGCTGCTGCTGCTACAGGGCACAGTGAGATGGAAGAGAGCTGTGTTAGCAGAAATCTTGAAACACAGACAAGATGTCTCTCCTTTTTCCTCATTTCTCTTAGCTGAGCTAGTTTACTTCTGAACTTGGACTTTTTTGATAAAGTGAATTTAATTTACTTAATTTGATTTGTTTTGTATTAGGGTTTCTTGTATGCTTAGGCATTAAAAACTACGAGAGTCTTTGCTTGTCAGTACAAAATTAATTACTGCACTATGTTCACACACTATTCTTTCTTGAGTCTGAGAAAATTAGTTTGTCTTTAATCTGACAAAAGGCTTAGGTGATTCCCCCCTGCTTTTTTTCACCTTCTTGGTTTTAAGCATGCTTTTCCAAGATTTTGCATCTGTGATACTGAAACTCCTGTGACTCTTGAGGAGCTTGTTTTGGGCATCCTCTAGTATAAAATCTGCTATTGATGTTATTTTGGGTATCAAGGGAGCAGGTATTGCTTTCATTCTAGTGGTTCTGAAAGTATTGCTTAATCTCAGGTGCTTTCTCATTAAGCTTACAATGGTTTTGTTATTTTTAAGGCATCAACATCTCTTACGATTGAGAGAAATATAACTCTATTTGCTCTTCTCTTTTGATGGCAGCTTCAGAGGTGCCATGAAGGCTAAATGAAGAGACTGCCTTAAGAGTCTGTATGAAGCAGTTATGTGGATCACCACACATTGCTTGGAGGAAGAGAATTAATCTTTTTTTGAAAAATTTCTGTAGTCCTTTATAAGATTACAGTTTGATTTATGGTGTTCCTGTGAACTGCTGTGTCCCTAGACATGCTCACAGTTCCTCAGTGCTTTCATATATGAATGACAGATTGTTTTGTACCCCTTTCACCAAATCAGTGAAATAAGAGACTTGGTTGTAGCCGGAAGAGTCAAAAGACAACCAAACATTCAGGCTTTTAAAGGAGACCAAGAAATAAAACACAGCCAAGGCATTGGTTTTTCTTGCTAAATTGAAGACAAACAATGAAAGGCAGTGCAGGTACTGACAAATACTTGCAATCATGATTTTTAAACAGGAATGGACTTTGATTTTCTGAAAACCTGTTTGTTGCATCAAACTGCTGATGATTGTTGCGGGTCAAGATTTAACTTACTGTTTAAAGGAACTGGAATTTACAATGGTTATTCAAGAAATTAACAAACAGATCTGGGGTTAGTGTGTGATTCTATTTAATTTTTCTTTCCTTTTAACTTTTGCATGGTCAGTATGATAATGAAATATGAATGCTAATTGTGAAGTAACAAAAAATATGTTATATCACCCTTCAAATCTATTTGGAAGATCGTCTCTGGTATTTGAAGGTAAAAATGTCACTGTCTCTCTACACGTGGGAGCTTGGATGAAATGCCTTGTGTGACCATTGGTGCAGTTTTAACAGTGATAAAAGTGCTGAAAATCCTCTGTTCAGCTTGATCAGCTCTTGGAGAGACAGAAGCAATAGATAAAAGATTCCAAGCCTTTTTTTTTTTTTTTTTCCCTCAAAGAAAATTCTTTAAGTAATTAATTTCACATCACTTGGTAATTTTGCTCTTAGATTTCATTATGGTTACTCTTATCTAGTGTTAGTATTGATGTTTTAACATTGATTTTCCCCAATCTTCACACAAGCAGCGATCTACAACCTTCATTTGTTCAGAGCAACTATTAGCGTTATGTGTTTGAATTCAGAAGATAATTGCATATCTTGCAAATTACCCAATGGCTGTTTCATCTTGAAACATTTAGAAATCCATTTCAGTTTCTCATAATTATAATGTTTTAGTCAGACAGCAATCTAAACTTAGGACAGCACTTTGGCAGTGATATGCTTGTTTTTCTAAAATGAGCACAGTTTCTGTGGTTAAATTTTCCTTTCATTTAAGTATAGATTTTAATCAGTGTAGGCCAAACTTTTCCAACCATCTTTAAAATTAGCTCAAGCCATCTTTTAAAAAGTATGTTCTACTAATGTGATTTAACTTATGTAGAAAAATGTATGCAGAAATTAATGGGTTTTAGCCGATTAATGATTTTGAAGTGTTTTTGCAATTTGTTTGCAAAGAATGTTTATAGACAGGCTCAAATGTGATGATACTTGTAGTCTCTTTGTAAGAAACACCACTGAAAGCGCTTCATGCTGTGCTCCTGAAATTTGAATGGTAGCTGTGCAGAAAGAAACTGTAAATTCCACTCATCAAGCAGCTAAATTAAAACATCAAAACAAAGGAAAATGCTGCTGTTTTTCCAGACTTCCCTGCAAGTGTTGTTTTAGAGATTACTGAAGTTTTCAATGGTCATCGTGTACATCTTCAGGCAGGGTATAGTTACCATTTCCAGTTGGTGAGTTAAAGTTGTAAATAGATGTATAGCAAGTGTAAAGCTTTGTGTGCAGGATAGTCAGCATTGTATAAATTCCCCCACAGAAGTGGGAAGGAGTCTGAATTGTGTCTGTCAGGTGACTATTACAACTCTCTGAGTTACTGCTAAACATTTGGTAGTTTCAGTTTCTAGAAAAATATTAAGAAAACCGACAAGGAAAAGGAGCCCCAAAACTTTTATCAATCTTATATCACTGTTTTTTACCCAAATGCAGGAGAAAAGGTCTTTGCTGTACCCAGAAAGTTTTCCTGTTGGCAGTGTTCAGAGATCAAGGGAGTCAATCTGTCATTGGCTTCTTTTCAAATAGACCATTTCTTCTGATCACAGGTAGAGTGAATTCCTTTTACAGAGAAATGTGAGGACAAATGTAAGAGAATGATGAGTTCTGTGGATTTCCATTATATGAAATGCAGGGTGTTTTTATAGGAGATGTGCTGGTTACCTTTGATATGCTGTTTCTCAAATGAAAATAATGTCAAAAAAAGTTCTGTCCTAGTTTGGACATGGAACTGTGAGAAAGTTCACTTAGTTTTTCAGATGCCTTATTATTCAGACACTAGAAGGACTAGATCCTTCTAGTTTTTAATACTTACAGTAATCGTGCATCTGTTCAAGATCACAAATGTGATCATGCTACCAGGATCACATTTGTCACTGTGACTTTAGTGATCTGCTAAAATGCCAAGAACAATGGTTTTGAAAAAGCTCTTAGTACTACAGGAAGAATAAGCAATAACAAATTTATTAATGACTGGTAAAGCGTACCATTTTTTTTCTAATTGCAGCAGCTTGTGCTGTCTTTTAAGAAACTGAAGTGAAACAAACACTTTTTAATTTCACTCAACTTTTTCTTCTTGTAAACAGGACTAACTCTTCCCCAGTATTCATGTGATAGAGTGGGAATTTCTCAAGCATTCTGCTCATGAATATCAGTTAAATGCTTTGTGCTTGTTTAAAAACAGCTTTTAACTCTTCTGGTGTGGTAAGCCAGGAGACAGTGGTGACTACATGCTGATCCATGGAAGATAACTTTTCAAAGTGAGCCAAGCTGCAAATGGGCTTTCAGGCTATGGTCAGAACTTGGAGCTTGTTTCTAGTTCTGCTGTGTAAATTTTTGAGATTGTGTAGCAGCTGGAGTTGGAGACCATGTGCGCCAGGGAAGTCTCTGCTAGGTGCTTTAACAAAGTTGGAAAACTACAAGAGGTTTTTCAAAGAGCAAAACAAGTAGAAGAAATACTTACCTGTTAAGTCTGTTGGCAACCAGTTTATTTTTTAATTTTTTTTTTTAACTCTCCACTCATGGAAAACATCTTTTTCTTGAGTACAGTGTTTTAAGAAAGTGTGAGGTAATACACTCAAGGTTATTGAACCAACTCATAGATTCTGGTAAGGTAAGGCTAATAATTTCCTTTCAGCCTCCTGCACAGACAATAGCTTTCTTCTGGTCTTCCCTCTTCCACGTGAAAACAATGCTTAATCTGCCAACTTAACTAGTGAATTCCCATAAAAATAAAACAGTTTTAGCAATTTCTTTTAAGGTCTCTTGCCCAGGTCAGTACATTTGTGCTGGGACAAGTAAAAATGATGCACTGCCAGTGATCTATTTATGTGTAATTCATCATCAGATAGTGGAAACAGTTAATGTTCTGGGAATTGGCATGAATTTCACATTGGGAAAGGGGGTGTTTGGTTTGTTTTAATCTCTCTTAAATAATCGCAGACTGTCTAGGAAGATGGAATGTAGTGTTCTGGTTGTGTTTAATCTCTCTAACCTTTGGAAATAGACTGTTTCAGAAGAGGATTGGTCTTGCTGCATTTTTTGCTTTCTCCATCAGATGGATAGATTTTGCACTAGAGTTTCCTTAGAAAAATACTCATGTGTCAATGTGATTTACAACAAATCTTTTGCAGACTCGTCTATTTCTAACCATTGGAAGTGACAAAGGGTGTGTCTCTCCCAAAATTATGGCTTTGCTCAGAGAAGTGTGTTCTTTTATTAGGAACATTGGGTTTGAATTTTCACTTGAATACCAAGTTTTAAATTAAATCCTTACAGTATCCACTATTTCCACGGGTCTACTATTCATTACAAAATTGATATTTCATTATTTTGTCATGAACAGTTCTATCTTTAGATGCCAGTTTCTCAGATTTACTTGGAACGATAATTTCTGTAAAAACATATCTCGAAGAATATTTCTACTTGTACTAAAGTTAGACATTGCACCTTTTGTATCTCAGTTGTACTCTGAAGAAAGAGGCTTGATTTTTTTTTTTTATTTTTTTTTGGTAAATATTGAGAAGCATTTAGTTTTGCACCTCTGTTGGATACAGGGTGAGATGTTGGACAGTGTCAGCTCCACTAAGCAATAAAAAGAATCACACTCTAAGACAATACTTGTACTGAATAACACATTCAGATTTTGACAGTGAGTAAAAAAGCAGCATGTTTATCTTATCTACCACCTTAATAGCTTTTGACTGACAAATGCCTGCAAAGATGTCAAGGGTCAAAGAGCTATTTTCTTGTGTGTGTTCTTATTACAGCAGGTCATCGAAGGACCTTGAGGCATGACTGATGTGTAAAATTGGGACAATGGCTCTGTAGTTATGGAATATGGAAATTAGGTATAGGCAGAAGCAAATATGGCTTGGGTGGTCACTTTAGGCGTATTGCTGAAAGTGGTGTTGATAACACAGGAATACATGTTATATTCTGTCTAAAGGGAAAAATAGCTGAAATGATGTGGTTTTTGTTGAAGTAATTTGCAGTAGGCTAGTCTACTGAAGAACAATATGGCATGATACACATCACCCTTGTGCAGTTGATATCTTTGAAAACGTACTAATAGCAGTTATTTTTAAGTGAAGAAAGAACCTTAGGAAGAGTTTAGAGGATTTAGTAAAGCTTGATCCTTTCAGTCACGTGTTAGCAAGATTTTCTGGTCATAGCTTTGGATTTCAGTGCTAAGGATTCTCTGTGTACAGTTTTTACACAGATGATGATGTTTACTAGAAGTATCACAAATTGGCATACTGGCTAGGTGATGCCCAAAAAATGGAAAATAGTAATTTGAAAATTTTGTTGTACATAGAGTTGCATAGGCTGCAGAATATTTTAGAATGAAAATTTTCAGCAGTACTGAAATTTATCTGATCTGGCAGACTAATATATTAATTAGTTGCTTACAGTTAGTAAGTACTTAGTAAGTGCAAATTGACTTAGTAAGTAAGTACTTACTTGAGTACTTAAGTTTTTAAGTACTTAGTTATTAATTATATAGAATAATATTTTAATTAATGCTCATAATAAGAGGAAAGGGAAATTGTGGGAAGGTATTTCTTCATCACTCAAAGACTGCTGTTACTGCAGTAGCTTTCCAGCAGTTTAGCTAAGGGTTTACAACCTTTACAGGGTTACAGAAAGAACCTTTACAGTATTACAAACTGCAGAGCAAGTGCCTTTGGTCTCAATGTTCTGTAAAGATTCCATTTCCCAGGATTTTTTGTCATGTGGAACCTCAGTTCTTATGCATTCAGCTGGTTCAAGTCTCCCAGCTCTTCATAACTTGTGTTTTGGTGTTAGTATGGAGGAGTGGCCTACCCTTAGGAGTTGTATCTTCCGTGAGACCTCAATGTCTGCCCTTCTTTTGAGAAAGATTTTGTTGTGCTTTTCTGCTGATTTCAATGTCTTGAGTGATTTTAATGTTTAGAGTGAAGTTATCAAGAGCTGTGATTTCTGGTTTGGGAGATAACTTGTTATAGAAGTGTCAGTCACTTGTTCTTAAGAAGAAACCAACCATCTAGTTAACGTCTCTCCCCTAAGCTGAACCTTACTAAGATCTGTCAGATTTCCACCAGACATGCACTGAAGAGTAGAATATAAAAGTGAAGTTCATGTTGGAATGGGATCTGGAGAGAAGCAAAGTTGTGGGCAAGTATTTTTCCATTTTCCAAATGTTAAGCTTCAAGTTAATAATATTTCTACAAAAACATTACTTGGCTGATTTAAAGCAAAACTCTAGAACTGTTATATCCCACATGGCATTCCTGTTGGTTTTTTTTTCTTGGTGTATTAACTTCTTACACAGAAAGGAAATGAATTTTAGAAAGAATGTTATACATAAACCATTTGAGGCATTCTCTGTTAAGGAAATACCATCTGTCAAAAAAGATGCAACCAATGTTGAGTTATATTAAAAACATTTTAAAGGAAATATTTCTCAAGGAAAAGTGGATTAATTAAAACATTTTAACTATTTTTGCTCTGGAGGAAGGTTAGGAAAGTTCTATATAAGCATTCTAAATGCAGTCATAATTAAAAGCTCAGTTTATTTTTTTCAGAAAGAAGTTACCTTGGATAAGTTGTTCCTTAATGTAGAATAAGGAAGTTTTCTGACTCCAGTGTAACTAGGAGGAAAAATAAAATTAAAAAAACAAAACAAAACAACTTGGAGTCATTACAGTTTATTACTTTCAAATTCTGTGAGCTTGCTTTCATTGATTCTTCTTGGTGGACAGAATTTATTTAATATGAAAACTCTAAAATGTAACTTGTTTTCCTTTTGAGTGTTTTTATTTGAATATCGGTTCTTTTATGAGTTTTTAATAGCAGTAGAAGAGATTATTTTGCTTCTGTGGATGAAAATAGTGAAGTACTCATATAAAGGTACCTTGATCAGGCATGTGAAATGATAGGATTTGCTCTTCCTTTAACCCAGTCTAGCCTGCTGGCTTTAAGGAATGGTACAGTAAATATACAGATTTGCTGTAATGGTTTGACATACAAGCTCTTGGTTTAATTAGCACTTTGCTCTTTTGGCCATTAACCTGTTGATGCTGTCAGATCTGCCCTGAAATGTAGCAAATACAGAAAGTTATGTCTGTTACCTTCCTAGGTAGTGCTCCAATTTTTTTTTTTTTTTTTTTTTTTTTTTTTTTTTTTTTTTTTTTTTTTTTTTTTTTTTTTTTTTTTTTTTTTTTTTTTTTTTTTTTTTTTTTTTTTTTTTTTTTTTTTTTTTTTTTT